AATCACATTATCTCTCAGACGACTCATTTCTCTTGGCTCTAAACAGTATCACCTGCAGGCTTCAACCCCATGGTCAGAGTTAGAGTAATTAAACTCAATTAAAAGGGCTTTTAAAAACAAAATAACCCAGGGATGCGCATCCCTGGGGGTCCCCTTATTACACACGCCAAGTTCCAGGGGTGTAGATCTGACGGTCTTGGTGCAGTGGTGCTGAGAAACATGCATACCTCCTATGCTCACACACCAAGGTAGGCTGAAAAGCCCTGTGTGGGCTTAGTATATGCATGCTATGTGGTAGAGAGGGAGAAGTCCGCTCCTCCCTTGCCTGCCCCTCACGCATGCATGTTTGTCCATGTGGACGGTCTTACCTCCTCATGGCAGACCTAGCTTCTACATCCATGATCCATGTTTACCTACCATGCAAGTGGCAGATCTCCAAAGCAGCCGGTGGACACTTGCACTGTAGGAACACGGGATAAGCATGCAACACCCTGGTCAACTAACTGCTTGCACGCCCCTGGCAATCTTGGGAGGAGCTGCCAAGGCAGTGACATCCGCAGGGGCAAAGTATATTTAAGGGGACCCTAGCAGCCCTTGCCTGCCTAAAAAAGCTCTCAGAGATGAAAGAGATCAATGCTGGAAATAAATGGACAGCTGGAAGTATGAGGAGTATGTGGTGCTATAGCGATTCCGTGCCTTCCCCCACTTTTAGCTGGAGACTGCTTCAGTTCACAGGTAACATCAACCATTAAACAATAGGCTGCCAGGGCTGCAAGCACCACTTCCAGTTTGACTCTGGCTTCATCAACAACCCAGGAATTTCCAACTTTTATCAACAACCCATAGTTTATTATTTGGTTAAAAGTCTGGGTTGTTTGCCCCTCAGCAACCCAGAGTACGGGTTCAGACATCACATCTGACAATCTTGGAATATTCCTAGGCTATTGATAAAAACTGATTGAAAATAGAAGGAATGGCTGCACAGGAAGCAGCATGCTTTCTACCTTGCTTGAAGTGCTGCTAATTCATGGGTTAAACAACTCATGAATTAGTGTTACATGCAAACCAGGTCTGTGATTCTTAACCAAAGCCGTGATTTGCTTAACTTTTTTCCACTGGGACCTTTCCTAGTCAGATTGGGAAGCAGATGGAGGATGCTTGGATCTGGTTTAGCACCCTGCCTCTGCCAAAACATGTGCATTTGTTTTTGATTTTTGTTATTAAGAACTTATTATATTTTTGTTTATTTTGCAGTATAATGCAAATGTTCATTCCCCTTTAGGTTTCCCCTTCTTCATATCATCCTAAAATGGTTATATGAAGGCATATAATTGATTATGCAAAACCTGGATAAATGATTATACATAGAAAAACAAACAAATAAGTAAACAAATAAGGCTTTGGGCCTCATGTTCCCTCTAGCAACTGGTCCCGTGTGGTGCTCACCTTCTGGAGCATCTCTGCCAGAGCTGGGGGCTAAGCCAGCACAGGGAGCAAAACTACAATAATGATGTTGTTAATGTCTTTTCTATCAGGGGCTCACTGTGGTCCAATAACTGATGGCCAAGCAACGAAAAAGCACGGACACAACCTGAGTCTGAGTTATGGGTGGGGCTGTATCTGTTTTCAAGGAGAGCAGAACTGACTTGAACGAGATTCTTGTAACAGAGGCTTTATTGCTCTTTTGTTTTGTTATTTTGGGATGACAATGTGGTTAAAATGAAATAGTGGATGGTATTGTTAAGAACCACCCTTAATGTTTTGGCCAACTACTGGCTGGGATGTTACAGATGATAAGAAGGAAACTTAGAAACCTAGCCTTGGGAGCTTGGAATGTGCATTGTCTGCTGACATGCTAAGCAAAAGCAAAGTTTTTTCCAAGAATTTTAGAGATGCTTTTCACCTGCTTTGCATTAGAAATATCACAGATTTCAGGTAGATTTGGTATGGGCAGGCTTGCCAAAATGTGGAAGGGCACAGATAAATACTCATGGCAACTTTAAAAGAAGCAGTGCATTGAAAGCTAAGCAGGATCTAGGGAGGACTAGGAGAGTGGGCACAGTGCAAAAATGATTTGAACTGGCTGGGAGCAATTATTCCCTGCTTAGTGTTTAAGGCACTCATAATCATGAGATTCATTGTTTAAACATTCATTTATCTTTTATTTTCCTGGGGCAATTAGTATAGGCAATTTTAGTGGATACGTTCTCATCATTAAAATTATATATTACTTGTTGTCTTCATTGGCTGGGATTTAAAGCTGAGTAAATAAATATTTATTGGGAGCTTATGGATGACTTTGGGCCCGTCAAAGACTCTCAGCCTAACCTACCTCACAGGACGGGGATGAGTATTAAGTGTGTGTGGGTGGAGGGGGGGGGGTGTAGGGGAATTATACTGTGGGTTCCTTGCAGTAAAAAGACAAGAGATATCAATATCGAGTCACTTTGGCAGGGCTTAAATTAATTTTTGAAGTACCTTTTAATTAATGATTCACTATGTTTTCAAAATTCTTAAGCAGGGTATGCAAATTATTCTCAATCTAGAGGAAGTTAGTTGTGTTTAAAGCCCACTGAAGCCAATGGGATATTAAGTAGGATTTTAGCAAGAATAATTTTCTCTAAATTGGGAATGCCCATTTGTTTGCTTGAAGCCCCTTGGAAGAGCCAATCATTTTATATTCACACACAGAATGTCTACTATGTTCCTAATGATAATGAGCCATCACTGGATCTAAGAAAACAGACTTAGGAGCATGTTGAATGAAAACTACTGTGTGAAGGACATTGCAGCATCCAGCTTAGATAGTGCAGGAAATTCATCTCCCTCTGTCTCTTTGCCATGCAACTCCATTCTGTTTAAAGTTATATTGGATACATCACAAATAAGGGTTATTGTCTGCTCACTTGAAAAGACCTTGGGCTGTACCCAGCGGTGCAAATCATGCATTTGAGTTTTGCTGATTCTGCCTCACCAGAAGAATGGCTCCAGTGGATTGGGGGACCTCCTGTAACAGGATGGGACATGCCATGGAGCAGTGGCACAACCATGGGGACAATGGGGAAAACGGAATTCCCTGTGCGGCACTATTGGAAGTGTTTCCCTGTCTCTATTTGTGTGTGCATACATGGTTTAGAGACCAGATGGTACCAAAAAGCCATTCAAGTAGCTTTCTATTCTGCTACAGTAATTACTTATTTTGAACTGCCTTTTAGGAGACTTAATATATCTGTGAGTCACGCTTAATGTATATTCCGAAACAGCTGAATGTTTTGGTTTCCTATAGAGTGACGGATGTCATGCAAAGAAAAGGAGTATTATGTAGACATAGGCAATGGGTTTTCAGCTTCTGCAATAACTAAAGGTGTTTTGAAATATGGATGCTGTCCATTATCTCCTTATGCATAATCATTTTACTGTATACCAGATACATTTCCCGTGTCTTACAATTGTAGAGCATAATTCAACAGACCATATGACTAGTTTCGTACACCCAAGGAGGTGTTAGGCTAGTGCGTCTCGAACCTCTAAGGCACACTGAAGCCTTTGGGTGCTCCTAAAACAGCTCTTTGGATCGCAGCAATATACTATAATGGAAAGATACTTTCATTGCATGTTTTAATACAATCAGCTCCCTAAAGCCATATGTCTTTTTCTTTTCTATTAATAGAAAAGTTTTGCCTCTGTGGTATTTTTAGGCTGGCTGTATGCTTCCTTTTACTGTGTTTTCTAAAGCAGTATCAGGACAACTGTACCAAATTGGTTTAAGCGGAAAGCTAAATAATATATGAGAAGGGTTTGCATGAATGCTTGAATTCTTGCATTTTATTGAGTACAAGACGCTAGCATGAATGGCGCTCTAATTTTTTATGATGCCCTGCTGGCCACAACAGTTCCATGGCATGGAATGCTGATGTTTCACATTTCAACACGAATGGGAGTTTCTACTAGTAACTCCTCAGGTCTTCTTTATTATGCAACATAAAGGGGAAAGTGTACTCCAAGGCCAGAAATTGTTCATCTTTAACACCTAAATTAACATTTATGGCCCTCTTGTGACAGGCATGATTCCAAAGATATGTAAGTACTCAGTGTTGCCTTTCCCCACTCAACATACTCTAATCTAGGACTCAGATAATATTTGGGTGGTTACATTTCATATAAGTAGGTAGGTGGAAATGTGTTGTAGCCCTGGTTCATCTTCTGCATAAAATCTGTGGAGTCTATGAAAGCTTGTTTTTAACATTTCATCGGACTGAAATCTCCTAGTTTAGCACTATGAAATCAAGCCTTTGGATGGCATGGTAGCAAGGAAGTGATTCAAAGGTTTCTCCTATCCTTGTCAGGGACTCAATTTGTCTGAAGTGAGAGCTGTCATTGCGGTTCACTCTGGTTTCAAGTGGGTTTGCTTCCCTAAACACAGTTAATGCTCGCTGCCTCTTTTGTCCAGGTTTTGACATAGGTGGTTAGTTGAAAACAGAAGCAGAAGATCTCTTACTGCTGTTTTGGAATAGGGGAGCACATGAGCCCAGAAGCTTGTGCACATCATGCCAAACCATAGTTTAGTGTTACGTATGAGCCAGCCCAGTGTGACAAAGAAAAAGGACCAGGAATGAAGGGGTATGGATAGTATTCTTTACAAATGGGTTACAAAGGACAATCTGTGCTTGTGCCACTGAAAACCCTAGCTGATTGATGGTTTTTGCCCTTAACATACCTGTAACGATACTGGTATGGGCTATATTTTTGTATCCTTTAGGAAATTCGAATGAAGAACTATCTAGATATCTAGCAATTTAGGTAGGTAAATATTGGTTAGATACAGAGTTTATTAGTCACAATCTAGAGACAGGATGAAGGGCTGAGAATTCATGTATGTTGTGAACACCCCGATTATTATTATTTAAAAGCAAGAATAAAAAATAGCTATTCTCACTACAGCAGATTTCTTGCGGGTGAAGAAATTACCTTAAAAGTAATGCTTTGATTCCTTCTTGCAGATGCGCACCACCCGCAAAGTGTCCGTATGGCCCGTGGGACTGGTAGGCGGACGGCGCTACGAGCGTCCCATTGTGGAAAAGGGCAAGGTGGTTGGCTGGTACACTGGCTGGAGGGCAGGGAGACCCTTTGCCATTGACATGGCAGGTAAGTGGTTACAGCATCTCTGCCGGAGGGCATATTCATGCGAACACACCTGTTAGGTGTTACATTACTTATTTACTTACACAGAAGCTGTTCTAGAAACTTGGATGCACAGGATACACAGGCATGGAAGACTCAGTTTTGGTTCTCACTCTGGATCATAAAAGAGGGTTATAGAAGGTTCACTGAGAAACCTGAGAATCTCAGTTCCCCCCTTAATTAGATATTTTTAAAAATAAAACTTCCTGGCCATTGAGGGGTTCAGACAGAAGCTTAAAAATACAGCAGGACCCCCGTATGTGCACCAATCAGTTCCAAGCCCCTCAGCAGATGCCTGAAACTGCGGATAACAGCAAGCACTATCCTATATGTGAAATACATTTCCCCCCACTTTTGTTCATTCTTACCTCAACATACAATTTGTTTCTTGCCCGGTTAAATCCAGGATTTTTGCTCATAGGAAGCATCGCAAGACCTCCTTTGGCACTTTGCAGCACTGGAGGGTGGGTGTTCAACCTCTTTTAGATGGGGTTGAGCCCGCCCTGAAGCCAGCTGCACCCATGCCTGGGCAGGGATGGCCTGGCTACAGTAATTTGTATTCTGGTGATCTCTCAGTGCACTCTCTGGGGGGCTGCCCTTGAAGACTGTTCAGAAGCTGCAGCTGGTGCAGAATGTAGCAGCCAGAGCCATAACTGGGGCCTGTAGGCCAGAACATAGAATCACAGAATCAGACCGGTTCTGGCCCTCCAGTATTGGCTGCCTTCCAGGCCCAGTTAAAGGTGCTGGTTTTAACCTATAAAGCCCTGCATGGCTTAGAACCACAAGACCTGACCAAGCACTGCTCCCAGCCATGATGTACCTGGACACTGTACTCAACTTCTGGAGCCTTCCTCTAAGTACCAGCCCTACAGGAGGCTTTGAGGGTGCCAACCAAGGGGAGGGCCTTTCCTGTGCTGGCCCCCTCTCTGCCAAGGTCCGTCTGGAACCAAATTTGCCTTTTCTTCAGTGCCGGGTCAAAACAACCCTCTTTGCCAAGACCTATCAAGATCTTCTTGGTTATTCAGGGGCCTGAGAGGATTATCCAGGTGATTCTTTCTCTTTGCTGGGTGTTTTTCTGTATTTTAAGCTATTTAAAATTCATTTTACATCGTTGCTTTTATGGTATTTGTTCTTTGAGCATTTGTTCTGTATTTTATTGGGTTTTTCTATAAAATATGGTAAACTGGTCGGATGAGAGGGCTTATATAGAAATGAAATTAATGATAATCATAATCATAATAATTTGGCATGGAAAACAATCTGGATTGATCAACACGATGCACTGACATTACAGTTACCAAGTGATAACAATAGTGAAGTATGTTGTTGTTGTGTAATATTATAATAGCATTCTGTGTAGCTCATCTCTTGTGATACCACCAAGGCACAGCAGCAGTTCTGTGAGCGAGTTCTGAGCTTAGGTCCAGGAGAAATAGGGATGGGTGTATATTATCTTTCCAGCTCCCAACCTTGTCAATACACCTCTCTGTTCTTGCTCTTTGTGTTGCTTGTATTCCCCGCATGAAGTTAAAAGACCAGGTTTGGTGGCTAGGACAGCACTGGTGTATGAGATTAGCTTCTCATGCATCTTCATTTTCTCAGCTCCATCTTTGCATTCAAAGGGACCCTCGGGATCCGCAGTGCGTTAGTGAAGGCAGTGCAGGCACACAGGCTTGTTGACCTGGAAAGTGTTGCCCCAGGTTGTAGCATTAACACAGCTCTCAGGCTGACAGGTTAACATCCAGCTGCTGCTTCCACAGTTGGCAAAGGAGCATAAGAAAGAATCATTTCCCTCCATCTGCACTGCTGTCCATCTGGTTCAGCACACTTATTGTAGCTGCACCAGCCGGGGATCCTATGAAGCTGGCAAACAGGGCCATCCCTCAGTGCTTGGCGCAGTGGGAGGAATCCTTGAGTGAAAGGTGGGTATCTCATTTTTAGCTGTGATGGCATATTTATGATGGTCTTTAAAAGGCACCCTATTATTGCTACTTCCCTGCTTGACTGCCAGAGACCAATATACTGCTACCATGCAAGTATTCTCCAAAGACTGGCTGGCTTCTCTGCATCGTTGTATGCTACATGCAGGAAGCTGCCAAGAGTACTAGGCATCCTACTAAATGCAGCCACATTTGCTTGGAAATTTCCCTCCTTTTCTCTTCCCCGCCCACAAAAGTGAAGGTTGCGAACCCAATAGGGAACAGCATGGTTGAGTATGGATGTCTGGATATCCATGGAAGATGGAAACAAAGGCTGGAGGCAAATTTGTGGGGAAACACTGAAAAGAAGGAGGTGCCTAGCTCTGCATTTGATTTATTTATTTATCGCATTTGTATGCTGCCTTATCACCAGAGACTATCCAGATTAACAAAAAAATTTCTAGACATCAGTAACTTATAACAGAACCCCAGGAGTCAGTAGCAAGTGGAGCATTTTATGGCATGCCAATGACACATGGCAAAAAAGGGATATTTAAACTTTCTCCCCATGTAGGATAAAAATGTCGGCTCGGATCCAGATGTACTAACAGACACACTGAAATCAGTTGGACTTTGGTTAGTTAAGTCCATTCATTTCTATGAGTTTACTTTGAGTGTGATGAAGTCAGGTTGAATCCCATGTTCATGACCGTTCATAAGAATGTATGTGGCATCAAAAGTTAGCAGTATTGAGAATCAGCCACGGTTGGAAGCAATGGGAATTTTTGCATGGGTGCCTTATCATTAATTGTCATATAAGTGCTACTCCTGTATACCATTTTAAGTTTTTACATAATAGCAAAATTCTCATTCATTTGACTTTTATATCATATTTCTATTTGAATATTTGACTGAATTTCTCCTTTGCACCTTCGTTACCTGCACAGATAGCTGGTATCTTATAGCGTGATCCTCACACTGTGCAGAGGAAACAAGCCCAAAGGATGGTTCGAGTGCAAAACATGCCACCTCATCATGAAATGAATCATTTTTCACTAACCAACCGAAAGCGCTGGCTGCAATGTCTTGTAGGCAGATACAGTCTGAAGCATCTTGCTTAAGGGAGAAATCAACCACCACCACACAGGCAGAAAAGCTTCAAAAATTAATGCCATCAATCTTTAGCTGTTCAGTTAGTGACTGCATAGCTCTGCCTAGCTGTTAGTCTGCATGCTTGGCCAGTCTTGTGTGCATTTCAAGTGGAAGCTGAATTGCTTCTGATATACTGAGAGCTATATTCCTGCCAAGCCACAAGCATGCATGCATCAGAAAACGCTTCTCACTGGGTGGAATGTAGGGAGGGAAGGGAGAGAGACGCATCTTTAGATCACTCACAGGATCTGCTTTTATGTGATATTTATATACACAATACTCCTTAAGTGTTCTGGTGTATTTTTTCTGATGCTTACTAAATTGAAATAGTGAATAGGAAACTACAGAGGGTGGTATTCGCTTACAAACAACACACTTGGGTAGTTTTGAGCAAAGGCAGGTGCAAGTGAAATGTAGTTATAACGGCAGCATTCACTAAGTGAGAGATCGGCTCTGCCAATGAGGCCCAAGGCAGCCTCTTTATGATGATTATCTCCTGCCTTTCTTCCTGCAAAGCATCCATAATCTTCCTCCTCCTTTCCTCACAAGAACCCTGTGAGGTAGGTTAGGCTGAGAGTCAGTGACTGCCCAGTCACGATCTAATTGGCCAAATGGGGACTAGAACCAGGATCAACCCAGTCTCAGCCTGACACTTGGGCCATTACACCAGACCTGCTGTCAAAACTAGTGCTCAGCTCCAATTTATTGGCTTCCTTCCTTCTCAGCAGAAGAATATTTTCAAGCTTTTTCGTTCTGCATGCTGTCTCATCACATTCGCATGAATGCACATGGAGCAAAACCTATGCATCTGAGGATCATCATCCATCATTTAGTTCTTACATTAGTTTCGACATGGAAGTGTCTTCCCTGCAGTAACTTGTTAATAAGTGAAGAACTCAGCATGCAAGGAGCCTTGATTTAAAGTGTATTACTATCTTGTGGTAGATGAAGTTATTGGTTTTTATCCTTACAGCATCATTTGTGGTAGACACTGTGTAGATGTGAATTCCCTAAATGCAGAGTTTATGGACAATTTTGAGACGCTCACTCCCCAGCCCAAGTTTTGTGGTTTGCTAAAGTGATGTGCAATATTATTACATGAGGCAAAGTGTGACTGCATATCTGAAAGATTAATCTTATTACTCAAGAGCCATAGATGCTCTTTGCTATAGTGCTGTGGACATCTCTCCTCATCGGCCAGGAAGGAATGGCTGTAATTCATTGGCCGCAGTCAAAGGCAATTAAGCCAACTAAGATGAAGGACCTGTCTCCATAGAGGTCTAGTTATGTATTCACCTTGAAATAATATGAACCCACGCTCTGCTACAGTTGTGCCTTCTGTGAATCAGCTGAACTCCTGGCTACAGTGCTTTTGAGATTCTTTCAGGAATGACAAGCCCCAACAATAGCTTTATCCCTGTAAAACTCTGCCAGAAAACTCCCTTTAGCTTCAGCTGTTACATGTAGCAAGAGCTCCTATTCTTTGTGCCTTCACTTCTGTTGCTTTTGTCTAGTACCTGATACAAAGAGATGCTAGAATTGGAGAGTATGCTAAAATAACGGCCAGTTGAGAGCAAAGAAAGCATATGCACCTCTGGGAGAACATCTGCTTTAGCACACAGGCTGTGCCTCTTGGAAAAGAATGATGGCAATGTCTGCTTTTTCCACTGATGTTGCACCCTGGCTAGAGGTGGTTGCCTTATTATTCTGCACTTCAAAAGGAGAAGCCTGGGCTGGAAAAAGTGACAACTGGGAATGCTCATTTAGCACATCACATAGGAGCATGAATAGTATAGTATTGCAGCCAGTAATGGCAATAATTTCTTTTTCTTCTGAAGATATGAAAAACTCTATTTTAGATTCATGCCGATTTCTTCTGTAGCCCACCCAAGGTCCCACTTTATTTTTATGATTTGTCTTTGGAGGACTAGTAGTGGAATATAACTTGGATTTGATGAAAATAATTGCATTATCTCCAACAGAACTGTATAATTCAGCTTTAATTTAATTTTCTTCCTTCTAGTGAACAAATCCTCTGGTTTCACTTCAGTGGCATTCTAAACTTAATGTAACCCCAGTCTGCAACCTACATGCTCAAAATCCCCCCCTCCCCCCAGCAAAGCTCTTTGTAAACAATTAGGCTTGTCTAATTTCCTTCAGGTGCTGCAGGGCACCCAGTAGTCCATGCTTACAATAGCTATAGCATTGGAGTGTGGTGATCTCATTTGCCACACAAGCCTCAGACACATGCTGGGGTGGCTGCTTGCCTGGCTTAGAGAGCTTCTAGTGCTACCTAAGAGGAATCGCTGCTTCTGCACCCGTTTCCCATCCCTTTCAGCTGCACACAAGCCAGCTGGAGTGCTGGGGGAGGAAGGCGCATATTGGAGGAGCATCTCACCCACACAGGCACTTTCACCCTTGTTAAAGTTTGTGGATTCTGTGGATGAGGTTGGCATTTGCGCTACTATTACAGAAGCTGCTGCAGCAGACCTCAAAACATAATGGTCCTCAGTTAGTTTACCCTTTTCTCACTATCATCAGCTGAGAACAGAGCCACATAGTTGTTTGTGTGTTGGGGTCATTGTAGTGCAGTGTTTATGTGCATACCTAGAATCCCAAATGCAATGCATGTTATGCAGAGAACTTTTGTTTTCTTTTCTTCATTGTAAGCAAGTCTGCCTTCACAAGATGCCACTGAAGTCAAGGACTGGATCCAAAGTGCCCATTCTGTGAATGGAAAGACTCACCACAGTGCACATGAGATCCAGCAGAGACTCCTCACTGTGAGAAGCAGGGAGTAGGTTTTTGCCACCTGCCCAGCAATGTCCTGCATCACCTGTCATATTTTGTATGGGATGGGAGATTTTCCAAAAGGAAACCTTTTTCCAATGCTTTATTTTTCTGCAGAAAATGTTCTCATGTTCATTAGTTAAACTGAATGCTGGCCAATTGCAAATGTAGTATCAACAAATGAAGTTTCAAAGTTGTCATTATTGTTCTTCAGGTTATTATTCCTAGCATACATGGATGCCCTTGAAATATGTATGTATGTTTCACGGTGCAATAGAACTAATAAGCAGTGACAGCACAACTGAAGGTGTCCCGGCAACTTCAGTTGAAGAGCGCTGACCTCTTTTGGAATATAGAATTATGAGCATATTATACACATTTCCTTGGGTGGCTAAAATTAATTTGTGTTTAAAGGTTTTATTAATCCCCCCTTAATGTAAGGAAGCATATGCTGTTGCCTTAATCTTTTTAGAAGTATGGCAGTGTTAGTGCTATCTTGAAATGACTGGCCATGGCTGTGATCTGGGTTCTAGTAACATCCAGGCTGAAATACTCTCAGGAACTTCAGCTAGTGCAGAATGTGGCCCTGAAGGGGGGTGAGGTGATCAGAACATTTAACAGCTATATGCACAAACGGCACTAATTATCAGTGGCTTTCTGAGGCTAATTTAAAGTGCTGTTTTTCACCTTTAAAGGCTTAGACACTTTGAGAGCAAATTACTTGAAGGACAGCCATCACCCTTATAAGCCAGCCCACACTTTAACATCAGCAAAAGGCACTTGTCACTTGCCCAACTGTGGGAAGTTAGGCTGGTGAGTCTATATGGAAGCTTTTCCTTAAGTGACTTGACATCCCTGGAGTAATTATTTTGAGAAGCCCTGAAAACTTAATAGTTTATTCTGGCTTTCTCCTGGTTGTTCAAAAACTGTCTGCCTTAGGTTCTGTCTTATGCTGATGTCTGTTTGTAGAACCTTTGCTGCTTCTATTATTTCATTGGGATTTTATTATGACCCCTCTCATTTTAATCTTATTGTATGCATTTTAGTGTTGCTTTGGGAGGACTCCTGCCCTTAAAAGCCAGCCTATAAGTAAATAAATATTCCAGTTAAAACATCTACACAGTATCACATTAACATTACATTAAACCTTTTCTCATTCATTTCAAATGTATAAGGTCAAATACTTGAGCTGTATTAGGGGAAAATAGCAGCAAGGACACTTTTTTCCAGCTTTGTTTCCTTAAACAAATATTTAGATGTCTCTGGGGCATAAGTGGGCAATTTGTTTGCCCTCCTCCAGAACTTTTTGCCTGTGGCTCTCCATCAGCTCTAGCCAGCTTAGCCATTGGTGAGGGGTTACTGGGTAGGCCAAAAAATTTGAAGGGAACAAGTTACTTCTGCTGTGTTGCATCAGAATATTTTCTGATCATTGCAATGTTTCCGATGCAAATTATTCCAGAAAACCCAAATTACTGCACTACAGGTTGTAAGGTAGAAAGGGGAATGGGTGAAAAACGCCTTCCTTCCCATGCCTCCCTTTATAAATAGAGGTAAGAAACTTGACGTATTTAAGTGTATGTATTGCTTGTTGTAAAGCATGTTCACAAATCTGGTTCTGTCTCTGTATTTTTTGCATGCTAAAATTAAAAAAACCAAACAGAAAACAATAAATAATCCAAGGTGAAACATAGTTCCTTTCATTTCTCCATTTTGTGCTGCCACTTTCAACGAATGGACTAATTTGAGAGGGAAAAAAAGATTCAAAGTAGTTGATAGTCTGACTTTTGCAAGCATTATCCCTATCTTATAACTCAGGTTGTTGGTAATGCCTTTGAGGGCATCCTTCACTCAGCAGTGCAGTTGGCAAGAATTGGTTCCTGTGTCTCTTTTCTCAGTAGCTATTTTTTGAAGTTGTTAAATGTTGCGTATGCTTTGTGTTGCACTCTGCAGGAAATGAAGATCACTTACAGTATGAATGAAAAACTAGTTTGCATATGGATTTATTAAGTCAAATTTATTTTCCCCTCTAGTTAATTTAACAATTACATTCACTTCAGACTTTAATTTGCAATTAATTACAAAGGTGGTATTGAGGAAGGAAAATCAGTAGGTCTCTTCCTTTTAAAACCCACCTCTTACCACCAGGCAGGCTGTTCATTATACAGAAATCCCAGGTGCTTACATTGCTATTGTTTACACTGTAACAAAATGTATAAGGAATTCAACAGATCTGGAGGAGCACAGCTAGTCACCTTTCAGAATAAGACAAAAGTGGTTTGTTGCATGAAAAATAAGCTGCATAAATTATGTGAGGCAACCATGTAAGTTATATGCTACTGCATGATACTGTGTAAACTGAATGTGAATTAACACAAAAGGTAGATAATTTCTAGAGCTAAATGAAAACCATAAAATGTGTGCAAGTTCGGTTTTAATTGTTTAACAATATTTGATTTATAAAGGGTTTGCTGTAAGCCTTCAGGTGATTTTATCCAACCCTAAAGCGGTCTTCAGACGCCATGGATCTCAGCCTGGGATGCAGGAATCTGATTTTTTGAGACAGATTACCACAGTGGAAGAACTGGAGCCAAAAGCCAACAACTGCACAAAGGTATCAGTTTCAGTATTTTATCACAGAAACTTTTCTTTTTGGGATAACTGTGAATTAACTTTTCTTTAACTTATTTCAGGTTCTTGTATGGCACACTAGAACAGAAAAGGTAAACCTAGCTAATGAGCCAAAGTACCACCTGGACAGTGTAAAAATTGAAGTATGATCCATAAAAGTAGGCCATGCCAAAATGAATGGATGTATCAGAGTTCTACCTACCAACCAACTGAACATTCAGATTGTACAGTCCTTTACCATATGAAGGCCTTTTGTCAGATGGCTCAAGATGTACTTATTTTGCCTTTGCTTGTTTTGCATGTTTCTTCGATTCATTTTACTACTGTTTCTCTGTTCAGAGTTTAGATTTCTTTTTTGTTTTATACAAGACATCCAATAAATGCAGTGAAACACTGAAAAGTTACTAAGCTAAACAAATGTAAAGCTTCAGTTCATGTATCCTTCATAATGGGAGCTTCCAAATCATTGATGTTCAAAGTTTTTCTTCCTGAATTAAAGAATAGTGGACAAAGATCTTATAGAATGAAATAATCATATGATGTTTATGGAATTCTTTAATATGGGGAAGAAACAGCTTATCAACATGAGGCACCATAAATGTAAACACAAGTACTGGCATAAACCTGAACACAGCTGTAAGGATAAATTAAATATACAACCAGGTGCGTTACCCTGCATGTATGCAGTACAGTATCATTTAGTCTTCTGTACATATTGATAGCCAAATTGCCTATTTTAATACAGGAAACCCAAATTGTTAATTTCTAAATGTAAAGAAAACTGATAGAACTACAGTGACATCCAGATTTCTCTCTCTCTCACTAACCGCTTTCCCTGCTCAGCACATAATTGTAGTATCACAGAGAAATGAATGATACAAAATCATTGTTACACAAGGAAAAACATTCTTCAGTGATACATGAATATTCTTATTTATATAATTAACATTTGTTCATATAGTCCCTTCTACAGGATTACTGGGCAATTTGCAGGGTGGAGTTTACATATTAGGAGATAGTACTAACATGATATCTATTTCTCTAATATGGAAATATCTGATCTATAACTGAAAAAGCTGGAGTATGTAGTTGGTCATGTAGCTCTTCTGAAAGATATGGTTAATGAAATCAAATGTATTGTGGAATGAAAAAGCTGCTGATGATGGGTGTTCTCAACCTGCTTTTCACTACATCAAAATTTAAGTCAATACAGACCACAACACGGTCAGTTAAAATTACTTCTTAATATGAATAACTCTGAGATTGGAGAGAGGGGAAACGTACATTGACAGACCAGGGAAATTAGATGGATTTGAGCATGGAATGTCAATCAGGTCTCTGATCCAGATGAAACTTCTATTGCAGCTTTCATTTCCAAAGTTGTGTGCTGAGAGTCTGGCCTGAGGAACTTCCAGTCCATCCTGGCACTGTATTTGGGGGCTGGCCAAAGCCCATCATATTGGTAGAACTACTCAGATTCATTCCAGCCATTTGCTGATTCATCTGCGAAAAGCACACAAGATGTCTAATTAGTATATACATATATTCAATTTTCATACTACAACTGAAACAGCAAATAAGATTTTGGTTTCATTTTTTTAAAGAAGAACAAAATCATACCACTCTACTTTAATAAATGACTTTTGTTTATAGTACCTATTGCCAACATCACAGGAAGGTTTCTTTCAAAGGTAGCAGACCATCCTTCCAGAAATTCACCCTTTTCAATAATGGTCTGCAGCTTCTGAGTTGACTCACCAATACTTTCAGATAAATTCTGATTTCTCTGAAAGCGATCCAAATTCCTTAGAAACACTGGGATTTCCTATTTGCATACATACAATACTATATTTTCACTCATTCTAAATCTTGAAACACCTTGACTAATTTTTACGACCAAAAACAAAAATCTGGATGCATCAGCTTGCTGAGCCCATATGGAAAGTTTTCCTCTAAATTGTAGAATAATCTTGAATATTTCAGCTCTAGTTGGTAGAAAAATCCAATTTTTAAAGAGAACTTTCTACTAAGAGGCCTTATCAACAGCGTATAAATGCAGACCAATGTGCAGGTTGTCAGAAAGACTGGACAGCTGCTTCCATGTGGGTGGACAGCATGTTGTTTCAACAATGTCTGCAGGAAGCAAACATGGTTTGATGATCAACATGGCAACTTCCCCTATCACTAGTAGAAATCCTGGCATGGAAAACAGCCACACACAAATGATCGCTTCCTGCAGATGCACGAGAGGGTTGAAGCACTCTGGTAAAAAAGTGGCCCTCAGTTACAATTTAAAATCTGTCCTTCTCTTAGAAAAGAGATGCATCTAGAACTAGTTAATGAGATTTTAAATGCCTCATAGCTCACTAAAAGTAGTTTCAGGATATGACAAAATTCACAATACATAATTACTGTAGGAAGTAGTAGTAGACTTGAGTAAGGGGATTTAAACAAACAGTACAAATGCATAAGGAGAAGAGCTACACCGTGTGCTGGTTTGTACCATGGATGGCCCATAGTTTGAGGACTGTTTTCCCTTCCCCCAGGCTATGCCTGGGTGAGATGGCATCCAACATGCAACACGAGTTAAACAATGATGGACTTGTAGTTCAATTTATGGTAGTACTGCATTTATTTTGCAGTAATTCTGCAAACCAGGTCAGTATTTAGCAAATATCATTTGCTGTGTAAGTTATTCAAAAACATGTTAAATCATCAAAGACTAATCTATAAAAATTACTAAGTCATTCTTGTCCTTATACTCCTATGAGAAACTGATCTTTGTGAAAGTCTGCGAATGTAGCATTTAACTGAGAGAATCTCATTTAGAAACCATCATTACTTCTATTTCCAATGACTGAACAAGTGCCATTCAGGATGTAGCCAAAATGGCACTACCAACACACAAGAAGTATATCAACAGGTTCTGAGGAATCCTGAAGTTTATGGAAGTACAGATACTTTTAGGACTGAGGGTTCCAAAACAGCCCAATGAAACACAGTCAGTAGCAGCAGAATGCTGACTTCTCGTGAGGAGGGGGAGCTGAAAATCAGCAGAGTGTCCTGGATAAGGGCGTGGCTAATGGTCTAGAACAGTGAACTGAAACATTCTGTTCCAGTACTTGCTTTTTCTATAGTGGGGTGGTTGGACTTGTCCAACAGAAGAGCTATGTATGGTAAATGTCAGATGTTTGAGAGCGACCTGTGAGCAGTATCCATGGACAGTGGTGAGCAGCAATTGGGTGCCCATGGGTGGAGAGCTGCAAGCTGCAAAAGAAACTCAAAGAACAACATGTGGCTCCCAAGCCTCAGTTAGGCCACCCCTTTTCTATAGTAACCATGAATATAACATCACATTCTACTTCCTCATCCCTGAGGGATGCCTAGGGAAGACCCATTTTCTTGACTTAAAGCAAGGGTGAGGAATGTCTGAGGGTCCAGACACTGCTGCATTCTAACTCCTGTTGGTCCCAGCCAGCATGATCTATGATGGGTTTATGGCTCATGCTCACACATGATAACCAGTAACATTTACATTAATGTAATGTAATTAACATTACATTAATCTTAATTTGTCTAGGCTATAAACAGTAAGAATTATTCACTTTAACTTTATTTCTATTTATTCCCTAGTACTGTTACAAAAATTAATGCTAGTGGAGTAACTAATATACAATTGATTTATATTGAATTTGAGCAAGCACTATAAATAATTTTTCATCACAAAATGAAAGTCATATGGAGTTCTTTTGGATAGTTTACCTAAAAACTTCAGGAGTTTCTCCAGTCGAAAAATAAAGTTGAAGATATGAACTTTTTCTTGTTATCATTTCATTGTATCAGCTAAACCACTTTTAGTTCTAACACCAAGAAATAGTGTCCAAAGTCAATCTACTAAGACAGAAGGTAAAGACCTGCTGGTCGAACTTGATTTATCATCATTGATTTTAGTCTTAAAATTGTTCTCCTCTTCCATAGCTATCTTTCCCCACCACTCTTACATGAAAAGAAAAAGCATATTCCCACCTGAGAAAGGTTCCACTGAGTTTGTTGATTCTGCTGAATACCAAATTTCTGTGGTGGAGCTATTTGTCCCACCATTGTTCCTTGGGGTCCTCCAACATTTTGAGCAAGTCCTAAACCACCAGTTTGTGTAGTGACAGAAAAGCCATTAGGCATTCCCATGCCCACCATCATGCCTGCATTCTGTCCTATGACAGGCACTGATTGTCCCATCATGTTTCCCATCATTGCAGGGGCTGCAGGAACAGGCACAGGTACTCCCATTGCCGGAAAGCCTTGAAAATGACCTGATGGTTGTGTGGGAAAGGGCAAAGGCTGTGGTCCCATGAATACACCTGTATTGGGCAAAGGAACAGAAAAAGAAGGAGCATTAAGTCAGTGACAACTTGCATTCTAAATGTAATACACGCTTTCTCCAAATTTCAGCTATATTTAGAAAAAAATGTTAGGGAAAGGGTAAACCCCAAAAGGTGGCTCCATTACCCTGAGGATGTGTAAGTGGCTCATTAACACTAGTTATTTCAGTAGCGGGAAGGCCACAATTCTTACACATTAAAGGTGATGGGTTTATAATAAAACCAGTAGTGCAAACACAATGCACATAATAACTACTGGTGTTTAAAACTCAGGCCTAGTGACTCACATCTGTGTTGTTGAAATGGATAGGAAGCTTGTGCACTATTCTCCCGCACAACTGAGAGACTAGAAGCAGTACCTGCTCATCGGAGAAGGGCTTCCAAGTCAAGGGGCATTATTTTCACTAGGCCAGATGCCTGACATGCACTACCTGAAAGAGAGGCAGCAGCGAAAGGAAGGGAGTACCACTGGGGAGAATCAGGACCTTCTATTACTAGCCTGCCCGTATCCTCATCCCCCTTCCCTTTCCTCTGTCAAAAAGCAATTCTCAATTCTGAATATCCAGCTTTATGTACACACCGGGCGGGGGTGGGGGATTAGGTGCTCTTAGCACAGCTTCCAATTAAGTAGATCTGGAAAGCAATTACCTGGAGCAGTTTGCTGTGGCATAGTCCCTGTGCCATACAGTGACAAGATGGAATCTTTGGAGAGCTGTTTCTTTGCTGATTCTTCTGATTTGGTTTGTTCAGTGAACAAATCAAGATCTCCAGATGCAGCAGATAAGGTGGCAGCTACAGGGTTAGTAGAAGCACTCTTGGAAATAAAAGCCAAAGGAGATTACTGAAAAATGTTACCACTGCAGCTCACATGGTATGTTTTCAAACCAAATATAAGTCATTTTAGCTAAATAAATAAGCTAAATACCAAACTTTTCAATGACTAGAGTCAGAAACATCTGGAAGTACTATTGTAAACATGAAACCAAGAAGTTCAATACTTAATAAATAGAACACAAGGCTCCAACATTTCCTTTGCATATGTCACAATAATTATTATGAAACCTAATTCAGAAGTTTATGTACCACAAAGCATAATTAAAGCAGCTCCACATTTTATGTAGCATTTTATCTTGCAACAAATAAGTAAAATACATCTTCCATGTGAATGTACATGCATCTGGGAAACCTGACTAGGCACAGGTCACCAGATATGTACAGGCAGGTATTTAAAGGTCCAAGTGCACACACAAAAATATCTGAGTATACATAGAAACACAGAGAGCGAGTCAGAAGAGGCCTCCCGGACCATCTAGTCTGTCCTCTGACTACAGCTGGCTCCACTCATGACATGCCTACCATGTGCATGTCCAACCTAACCTCAAATACTGTCACTGATGGGGCTTCAACCACCTCCCATGGAAGCCCATTCCATGCCCTAGAGGTCATAACCATCAGGAAGTACTTCCTGGCATCCACCTTGAATCTTGGTTCCCTGAGCTTTGCATTTGTATGTCTTCTGTATATGCTATATATTGATGTGACTCCTCTGTAGACACACAAGCAAATACTTTTGCTACATAAACTGAAGCTGGCTTTAAAGAGTTATTAAACTCACGTACTCTCACAATATTGGAAGACAGTGTATTTTATAATATGACCTTTTCTATTATCTCTATGGAATGTGCACTGTATGCAGGTTTGTAGTGGATTTACCAGCTTATTTTTACAATTTGCCAAAATTTACCAAATACACATGGCATTGCAACATGTTACTATCTGCTTGTCTGTTATTCTTTTAAATAAAAAGTATACAAAGAAATTGTATGAAGATGGCCTCTTTCAGAATTTTCTGTGTGATGCATGCATGCACACCATACCCCTCTGGGCAAATGTTCATTTTCTCTATTCTAGCACCAGATTCTTCGCACCTTTTTTTAAATTCCTCACTCTCCTCCATATAAGTGTACCAGCCTCTTTGGCCTGAAAACCTTTTCCAGGAGAAAACACTATCACAGAAAACTCATTTTTAGCTACCTTATTCTCTTTTCTCAAGGATACTAATGAAACCTGTTTGGACAAAGTAATTTCTTAGGAGAAGAAATGCTGAAGAGAACTTTTGTGATGGATCCATGGTTTTCAACTAATAGAAGGCACTATTAAGTGAAATGGGCACAGGATTGTTTGAAAAAATTGCATCTGTAAACTGCTAGATTAATTCTCAGTTTATCTCAAGTGCTTTGGGAAGTCTGAATTTTATGCCTGAATTATGGAAGGTTTAAATATATTCAGAAAGCAAGAACTCCACTGGGATAGTGCAGCAAATCACAGGAATCTGCTGACAACAATAGTATACTTCAAAGTCAGATAGTTACATTTTGAATGAAGACAAAAGAGCATGGAGGAAAATATATTAATATACAAACAAAATGGTGGCTTGGAAAATAAGTAGACCAAGAATTATGACTAATTTGTTAAACTAGGTCCAAAAAAACAGCTTCAAATCTTTACTCAGTCATTGGTGACTATGGCAAGTTACTGTTCCCCCAGGGCTACTGGGGATTGTTGGAAGAACAAAATAAGAAGGGATCATTATACTACCCTGAGCCTCTTAAGGAAAGGCAGGATAAAAAAAGTCTCTTTGTTAAGATGAGTATCTACTGCACTAATATTCAGTTTGTTTTCACATACACATTAGTTCAAGCTATAGGTTGTGGTAAGAATGCTTTGAATATATTCCTAATAGTTTCCTTCTGCTATACAGGTTAAAAAGTCAGCCAAGATTTCTGTTCACTACCAAACCTCTGTGCTTTGCCTTCTGCTTCATGCTAATCTTCAGAGGTGCCTTGGACACAGGCAATGCTTGCCTTCCTCTCCCCCACCTCTTTAGCACCTGCTGGAACTCAGTGCACAGGCAGGTCGCTTACATTTAACTGTGCTTCTTTCAGTGGTCATCCGTGGATTTACACATATGCCCCTGCCCAGAGCCTGGATTCAGAAGGTTCAGGAGCTGAGGAGTTTGTTTGTTTGTTTGTTTGTTTATTTATTTAGAAAATTTCTATGCCACCCCATTCGCTGAAGCCTCGGGGCGGCTCACAACAAATATCAATTAAAATACTATAAATTAACAATATAAAATAAGTTAACAACATAAAATTGTTTAGGGTTTAGGCAGGAACCCTTCCCCCACCATCCTACTGCACCTGTCTCCAGTAGATTCCCCCCTATTTCCTGAGTTCCCTAAGACCATCCACTGTGAACTCAGAAGCAAAAAGAGACAGATGTTGAAAGAGCTGCCGAAGAGGAATAAAAACCCGTGCCAACTCCAAAGTGAGGATGGTGGGCACACTCTGTGAATGCAGGGATTATCCACTTGCAACCTAGTTACATGTAAACAACCTGTCTTTCTTCTTGGGGGTCTCTGTCCATCACAAGAAGCAAGAAGGTTACCTGAAGGAGCGCTTACATCCATATATGCCCAGCCGCCCCCTGAGATCGGCGGGAGAGGCCCTTCTCCGGGAGCCCTCCGTGAAAGAAATTAGGAGGGTGGTTACTTGGAGGAGGGCTTTCTCAGCGGTGGCACCTAAGTTATGGAATGCGCTCCCCGGAGAGGTCCGCCTGGCACCGTCGTTATTTGTTTTTCGGCGCCAGGCGAAGACCTTTTTATTTAAGCAGCATTTTAAATGTTAATATTATTGAATTTTATCTGGCCAGGGCGGCTTATTTTATATTGTGTTTTTTTTTTATTCTAATGTGTATGTTTTAATTTTTATTTATCTAATGGATCTAATTTATTGTTGTAAGCCGCCCCGAGGCTTCGGCGAATGGGGCGGCATAAAAATGTTTTAATAAATAAATAAATAAATAAATAAAGAGGTGGATTGTGTTGTCACTGGAGCACTGTCAAATGGGCTGTACAGCCAAATGAGCAGTACGCTTTACCTTGGAAATCTAGACAGTGTTTGACAAATGTCAGCAGAAACAATCCGATAGCTGCATGGCAAAGTGCCAGTAAGGAGCCCCCCATGTGAAGGCAATGGAGATCACAACCTATTTGATGGAATGTGCTCTGATGGTACTGGTGAATTAGAGATGAGTAAGTCTACAGACAAGAGTAACTTTTTGAGCCACTCAAGTGGCCAGTCTTTGAGAGGGAACAGGATGATCTTTATTTTTGTCATGTTAACATATAAAAGCGTGTGATGATTTCTGAAAGGACCTGCTCCAAGCCTTGTTAGAACATAAGAGCCTATGAAGATGAAAATCTGATACCACCTTGGGCAGCAAAAATACACCTGGACCAAGGACTAATTTTTTCTCAAAGAAAAATCGTGTATTGGGGGATCAATCCTCAAAGCAGAGAGCTCACTTGAATAGTATGCAGAATTAATTAATTAGTGGTCAAAAGAGCAACTTTCCATGGAAGGAAGCTGAGATCAACTAATGTCAATAGTTCAAAGGGTCATCAGGGCATAGAGAACTATTAACAGGCTCATGTAAGAGATTGCTGAGCAATTGCCACTTTCTCAAAGACCCATGAAATTGTACAGGGGAATACAAGAAAACAGAAGAACCCAAAATTAGAATATGAAAAGAAGAAACAGTGGCCAGGTATTTTAGGCTTCTCTTTCCATATAGCTGGCATATTACAGCACTTACTGAATTAAAATATGCTTTGTTCTGGGATGTTTGCAGAAAAACTGCATAGTCAAAATTAGTATCCAGATTCACAGGACAATATTTCTCAGCCTAGTCACTGGAGAGTGATAAAATACAGACCTCATGTGCATGCCCAAGGATGAATAGAAGAGATGCATCTCTTAAGTAGCTTCCCTTTCCTCTTCTGCCATTTCAGATCTGAATACCTTCTTCATTCTTTATGCTTATTTTCTAATTATACTTTCCATTGAACTTCACTGTCATATGCTCCTTTGGGAACCATTAGTTTGAAATGAGTAGTCAAGGGCAAAATGTCCTGCAATGAACTACTAAAGTTCCTTCTCCAACGCTGCAGAGTTATACATGCCTTCAAACTGCTACAAATATTTTAAGTTGTAGTTTATGCCAGTACTGGACACAGCAACATGTTGCTGTAACTTCACAGGCTTACTACAGAACCAGTACAAATCTGAAGGCCTGCCAGCCATTCTGGTAAAAAGATAACTGAACAGATGGGGTACCTAATACTACTAGACATGTAATGTAATGTAATGTAATGTAATGTAAACTTTACAATCTCTCAACACATTTCAAAAGGAGGTAGCATACCACATTCTGGTTTTGCTGCTTACCTGGGAAGGAGGTATAGAAGTGGCCGGCAAAGGATTAGAGATCATTGGTCCAAATATATCCAAGTCATCATTTAGTACTGTGGCAGGAGTGACGGTGCTTCCATTTGTAATACAGGAATCAGCAGGACCATCTTAAATTAGATGGTTTAGAATGAAAAAAAATGTTAAACCAGATTTTGATAATTGCAAAGTTCATACATACAAAGCTAATTACATTGCTGCCAGCACTTAAGGGCATGTTGGCAGAAATCTTGAATCATTCGTAACATAGATACAGACTCCTCCAATATTCTTCCAGCTCCCTGTAGTTTAAAAGCTTCAACATGCCAATGTAATTAGGAAGATTTGAATGTATTAAAACACAGCCTAAGGACAGTCTAATGGCATATATGCTGGTTTAGCAGAATGATACAGTTTTGCAAGATATTCTCTGTCCTGTTGAATGGTTATGAACATTATCTCTTTTATAATACAAAATGTATCTCTATAAAGACCCCCACCCAAAAAAGGACAACTATTGAGCACTGCTAAAACATATGCCTAAAAAAATAAGCTGTGTTATACCTCCTACAATAAGCTGGTTGAGATAGATCCTTATTAAAGAGATGGGGTGTCCAACACTAATGAACTGAAAGTTTTTACTAAGACGCAACCCAAGATCCATAGGCCTACAAATAACAGGCACAATCAGATACATGTGTTGACCAAATGGTCCATGTCTAAGCCCAAAATACACAACGGGGAAGGTTTTCTTTTAGAGGATTTATTCTTGAGAGTAACCAGCTACTAACAAATCATTCCAGACGGCTCCCCTGAGCAGTCCTTAGTTGGCCCTTTTATACATCAATCATTAATGAAAGGGTTACACGTAATACAGTTAATACTTTCCAATAGGTTACAGAAGAAAAAAATACAATGGCATGATCTTTCTCACCTACATATCAAAGAAGATGCTCCAAAGGAGGGGGCAAGATAGGGTGCATATACTATTATTATATTCTGTAGGATGTGAATTGCCCTTGATTTGAGTTGCTGCTATCTGTCAAGTGCCAACTAGCTTTCTCTGGGCTAGAGCCTGGTTAGCATCAGCTACATTTCAAGGATGCACACAGGCCGATTTCTAGATAAGAGGTTCTTTGTTTTTCTCTAGCCTAGTTATGTGTCAATGATTGCATGATTAAACCACACCTGTGTAAGTTATACCTATTGATTTGTACATCAAATATAAAGTCCATGGAGCAGGTGAAGTGGGGTAATCCAGTTCTTATTCTATTCTTGCATAAAACCCTGTATTTCTTGCATAAGACCCTGTATATCATATTTATTTGCTGTTAATAAATATTTATAGACATGGCTCATTGGTCAATTTCTTCAATCAGCCTCAGTAAGTACTTCCAACAGTGAGCGAGACACTGAAGCTGCAAGACCAGCAGAACCAAAACTAAATTCTAACAAATGTTGTAATTGCAAGTATTACTATTCAACTGTAGTTGGCAAACCAATTAAATAGAGAGCAACAAAAACTCATCAGGAGCGCCCAAGAATTGATCCAAGATAAACATCTTTATCTGTCCGTGTTCATCACGAAACGTTTTCCTACCAATGTTTAAATCTACATAATGTCATTTCAGCATGAGAAAAGGTATCAAGATGTAACTGAAGTGATACTCTATGCCTCGCATTTCTAACAGCCATAACTGCATAGGGAACCCTATGCATTCCAATATATCTAGAACCTCATACCATTCATTTAGATAGATGTCCAGGTCACCTACCTCCCCGCGTTCCATCCCTTGGCAGACACAGAAAAAAGATTTTCTTACTAAAGCTTTATTATGTTAATGAAAATCACAGACATACTTTAGGGTACAAATTAAGTGTATTGCAGAACCAATATTGAAGTAATTCCAACTCATCAAGCCATTAGGGAAGCTCGATGGCAAGAAACTCATAAGTGAGGGCCTCTCCTCTCTCCCAAGCTCAAATGGCCTTTAAGGGCCAACTGCTTAAAATGCCTGATACTTCTCAGTTCCAGATGCCCCCTTCACTGCCCTACAGAGAAGGGAAACTCACCTGAGGCCTCCCTGCTTGACTGGCAATATCTGCTAGCTAGGGTGGATGCCCAGCAGGCTTAGACCTGCCAGCCTGAAGCAAGAGACAACAAAGACTGAAAGCCTACAGCTACAACGACCTGGGCTCTCCCAGGGGAAGGTGAGAAAGCTAGCTTCACCATCTTGCCAGCCATTTTCCACCTGTGTAAGCCTCTCCTACTCCCCCTGCCCCCATGCTATTAGTCTTTCTCTTCTGGCAGGTGTGGATGCTAGCTGGATTGGATTCTCCCTGCCTGAGACAAGTTCCAGAAGCCCCAGTGGCATACAGAGAAGGAAACAGTCCTCCAAGGCCTATCTGCTTGATTGGAAACATCTCCTACCTTTGGTGGATGCCCACCCTGTATCTGCTGGCCTGAAGTGGGGTGGTGACAAACCCAAACAGGATGACAACAAAGGGGGTTTTCCCTTTGTGGGGAGCTGCTTTGGGGGATGCAGGGGCCAGCCATCTAACATTGCAGCCAATTTTGCATCTGCTTGTTTGTCTGCTTTTCTGGGAGGGGTGGGGTCTAATTCACAGGCACTGCATATGTGTAGCAGAGGTAGGTTATGACACTAAGTGGAAGATCCTGGAGATTCAAAGACTGTAGTGATGGGCAGAAGGGCATATAATATTGAGCAGCTAGCCATATAAGTAGACACTATGCAATGTTCTGGTTCGACTTGCAACTGGAGGTTTGGTGTTTGCCCTATCAGCCTGCCTCCAGGTCTCTGGATGCTGTTTTAACTGCTAGATTAGGGCACAATAAGACCACACTCATGCCCACCATGGTACTTGGTACCACACCTGGGAAGACTGGAAGGCCCGAGGGGAAGGGGGGGTTGTCATAGTCTATAGGAATTCACTTGGTCTCCAGGCTTTCTGCCCATCTGTCTCCTCGTCTAGAGTGCTTACAGCTGTCCTGCCAGTGGGAAAGACTGGAGATTCTGCTAGTTTCCACCCTACAAGGAAACAGCATCCCTTCCTGACCTCACAGAGGTAGTTTTGGCTGCCATATTTGAGGTTCCCCAAGCTGCTGAACCAACAGTATCTTATCTAGGACAGCTCAGGTTTTCATGGACTCCATGGCAATCACAGAACTGTCCCAACATGTTATTCATCCACATTCTTTTTTTTTTTTTTTTAACTAGACATGGGGATTGCAATCTGAGGTTGAGAGACTTTGAATTGATCCATTTGCATGGGCATCCAGCAGGAAGTGAGTTCAAGCAAGTCCATGAGGATGGCTTGTAAGAATGCTGCCTGTGTGCCTTCTCTGTACGTGGTGTTCTGCTCCTGCTCCTGTGACTTGTTGGCTCTGTATACTTTACGCAAAGAACTATGTTCTTTGTGTACTTTGCTCAAAGAATTACACAAGGAAGCCACTAGCATCCCCAAGAGTTCACCAACCAGCTCAGTTCATTTCCTGGCCAGGACTCAGTGACTGAAAGAAGTCCAGCAATCACAAGAGAGCTGGATTCTGGCCCAATCTTCATATCCTTACTGATGAAATGCCCCTCCCAACTACAATATACCTGGACACTATGATCAAGACCTGGGGTCTGTCTCTGATCGCTGCCTCCAAGGGGGGCTTGGTGGCAACCAGGAGACAGACCTTCTCAGTGGCAGCCCCTCTGTTATGGAATAAGCTCCCCACTGTGCCCTGCCTGACACCAGTTTTAACATTCTTTTGGCTCCAGGTTAAGATTGTTGGGAAGTACAGAAATAAAATTAATAATAATGATAGTAACACACATGTACTCTTTAACATTCTACCCCTGGATTAGCTATGTCTGTTGCATCCTCTTTCTTATTAAAAGGCTTGTGTAGCTTCCCAAGGTATCTGAAGATAGCGGACTCTCTGCTACTTCCCTGTGTATGTCTGAGTCAACTGGCCCTGGAATTTTGGCTAGGAATTCCACCCCTCCACCTGACTCAGAATCCATTCCCATGTCTCTTGAGGGCTCTTCTGTAGCAGCAATGGGCCTAATCCCTCCAAGAGAGTCCAGAGAAAATGATGCTAAAACTGACCAACATGGAAAACTTAATCTAAACAGAAAGGAGTTTGTTAGTTTTAGTACAAGTCAACAAAGAAGCCTGATGGTATAAAGCAAGATCTGAAAAAAACAAACCCACAGACTTTACTTGAAGCTGATTTTCCTCCAAAAATAATCATGGCAGAGAAGGACCCCACATACATGTTACAAAACAAAGCACTGGGTTTTTGAAAATATTAGCCAGCTAGAGAAAGGGGAATACTACAAACAACAAACAATTTAAGGTATAGTATTAATCTTGAATGCATTTACCCTGCAAACTCAGCTTTAAAGAGGTTCCTCTAACTATATGCTGAGCAATCTAACTAGTTTATTCAGATAAAACTTGATCATTTGAGAGAAGTATTTTGAAGCAGATATTGGAAAACGCCTGCTTTTTACTACTGCACAACGGATTGTCTTAAGGATTAAGAGGCACTATTGGAACTGAAAACAGCTAAGACAGCTTCTCTACCAATCAGTACCAGTTCAGATTTTGACCAGTTAACAGAATAACCAGACAAAAAACTACTACAAAGCTGGAACAAAGGATTGGATTTTCTGCACTGTGCTGTTACATGAAAGCCTGATAATTACAATAATAAATGTTCACTTCTTATAATGCAATGGATTGAAGAACTTTCTCCAACAGTTTGAACATTTGACTGAGTGTTGTACAGACACCATCTGCAAATGTATTCCTATTTGGATATTATTTGTGTTGACATTCATGTATAGTTCTTAGAAACTGATATTTCCTCTTTTATACAAAGAACAGAAACAAAGTAATTTAAATAAGCATTCAGGATTTATATGCATGCATTGTGCATATGCATGCACTGAAATTAATACATTCAAATAACTGTAGCCATAATCTCTCTCTCTCTCTCCCTCTCTCTCTCTCTCTCTCCTTTTCTCTAAATGTTATAACAAAGAAGCTTAAAATATAGCTTTTACAATAGAAATTCTATGTATAGGGCACTTAAACCCCTTGGAAGCAAACTTTT